TTTGTCTTAGAAACCTGCTTATATCCTTGCTCATCATTTCCTCGCCTGCCCTGACCTGTCACATTGGCCGAAAGTCTACGTTTTAGCTCGCCTTGTTCGTGGTGAAGCCGTTCTGCCCCAACGTAAAAGGGTCATCACATTAAATGCCAAAGTGAAACTCATTAATGACTGATGTGTGGTGTAATAACTTTGCAGGATCTTTGTCTGCTTATGTGGCTGGTTCTTCTCTTAACAGGTGTTCTGATGCCATTGGTCCTGGGTGTAATGTTGGGTCCCAGCAATGTTGGGCTTTAGTGTTTGAATTATGTATTGGGCCTTAAGTGGTGGGTCAACAGTCCTTGTAGGCCCACCTACGTCAATTTGTATGAGGGGATTTTAAATGCTGATCAGGGGATTTTGACTAAATCAATAAAGGAAAACTTACTGATAAGTCCCATGTACAAAGTTCAAGACCCAGCTAATCCTCAAACAAAACATTGGCACCAATTAGTCCTATACATTTTTAATTGTTACCAAAAAATCCTATTTTTTTTTAAAAAAAAAATTTACAGACACTGTTACATCTTACTACTGTCGGACTTCCATCAAACGGTCGCCGGAGACTCGTCGGAATGTTCAACATCGCCGGGAAGTCGTCGGAGTTTCGCCGGAAGTTCACCGGAGTGTTAAGAACGTTAATGGAAGTTGCCAGAATGTTCAGAATGTTCGTTGGACGTTAAGAACATCACTGGAGACTTACCGGAATGTTTAGAATATTGCCGGAAAAAAAAAAGAAGAATAAATGGAGAAATTAGAGCAAAAAAAAAATATAGCAAAACGTGCTAAATATTGATAAACTAAAAGGAAAAAAAAATGAAACGACAAAAAACAGCAACAATGGAAAAAACATATGCTATTTTTCAATTTTTGTAAGGTTCAAGCAATAATCTCCAATATTGATCAAACTGAAAAGTAAGTTTTGAAACTGTAAAATGTTACAGTTTCAAAGCAAAAATCTATTAAGCATTTATCCTTATTAATCAAACTGAAAAACATGTTATGAAACTGTAAAATTTTACAGTTCTAAAGAATGTTATAAAACTGTAAAATTTTACAGTTTTATACCATGATTCATTCCATCACCAAAAAAATTTGAAACTGCAAAATTTTACAGTTTTAAACCACGATTCATTCCAGCACCAAAAAAAATTTGAAACTGCAAAATTTTACAGTTTTCACTGCCTGTAACTAAAACTCGAAAACTTCTTGTTCAGAATTTAAAAATTTTCTCCATTAGAACAGAAAAACAGAAGTGTATGGCAGAGAAAATAAAAAAAAATAAGAGATCTAAGGAGAAAGGTGGATATAGAGAGAGGATTGTACTCCAGCAACTATTTTTTGTTTAGATCTAACCAAATCTGATGTAGATCTACTCAGGTCTGATGTAGATCTGGATCTACATTAGATCTGAGTAGATCCACTCATCTTCTTCGTCGGAAATATATCATCTTCGCCGTCGGTGAAGGTGAAGTCACGAGTTGATTTCGATGGTTGGTGGTTTTCGATGAACTCCAATCAATGGAGAAAGACGTGATCACCGGTAGTCGTCCATGACAAAGAAGATGAGAGAAAAATGCAAAAAAAAAAAGAGAGAGGAAAACGTAAAGAGTCAAACAAAAAGCAGAGAGAGAGAGAAGAAAGTAGGACTTTTGTGTCTACTCAAAAAGTTGCTGGATTAAATAGTGTCCACATGTTTCACATAGGACTTGTGGGTAATTTCCCCTCAATAAATGCAGGTATGTGGAAAGACATGTAGATTGAAAAAAGTTAATAAATGCTGATCAAGGAATCTTGACCAAATCAATAAATGCTTAGTTTTTTTTAAAAAAAAAATAAAAAATTTAGAAAATTCAGATTGGATATTGAAACTCCCACAAGTCTTAGGAGTTAAAAACTCCTTTTACTTAATATATAGTATAGATATAATATAATATAGATAAATAAATATAAATAGATTAGTAGAATAGATTGAATGGGGATGCTCTAAGTGATTTTTCTCAAATTGATTTATGTGTTATTTACAAGAATCAACCGTGCTATTTTTTTAGTCGAGGTTGGCATTGTGCCTTGTGGCACAACACCTCTGTTGTGAGGTCATGTTGGGTGTATGTCGAGTTTTTTTGCTTTTTTAATAATTTGAATTGTTTATAATGTAAAGTTTGTCAGGTATATTATTTTTAAAAAAATTGTCAAAAATTATATCAAATAAAAATAAATGAATGTTATTATGTGATTACAGATATCTAATTGATCTAATTTTTTTTAATGTATGATCTATTTGACAAATCGTATAATAAGAACGGTTTAAATTATAAAAATAGATTAAGTCTTCGTTAAGATGTGGGTTAGTTTTTTGGCTATTTTACCTTAGGGCTTAAAAGCCTCGTTTAGGATAAATTTTTTGACTTTTTTTACTTTTGTGAGAGAAAAAAAATGATTATGATTCAGATGTGATGTTTAATCTTATTGACTTTTTAATCTATTTTGTCTTTTTTATGACTATTTTAATCTGGATTTTTTTTACCAAACAAAGCCTAAAAATACACCCCAACCGGCTTCAAAACAGGCGTGCTGTGCCACCTACCCAAGTCCTTTATTTTCTTTGATAAAACCACTACTTTGCCTTCAAAAACGAACAGTCAGTGTTTTTATATATAGATAATTGTAATATAATAAAATAGTGCGATTATCAAATAAATTATATATTTTTAAAAATATATATACAAAATATACAAAATATTTATAAAATAAATAATTTAAATCATGGGTAAATTACATTGACACCCATGAGGTTTATATTTATTATAATTCCCTCTCACCTTTTGAAAATTACATCCCTTTTTTGTGGTTTAAAGTTTCATTACAGATTGTCCCTGAGATTTAAAGTTTCATAACAGTTCCTCCCTCACCGTAATTATCATCATACATAAAATTAAATTAATAAGAGTCAGTGCAATTTCTCAAATATAAGGAGAGAACTGTAATAAATATAAATCTCATGGGGGTGTCATTGTAATTTACCCATAAATCATTAAATCGAAATTTGTGATAGACTCTGCGAAGGTGAAGGTTAATAAAAATCGAGGTAGGGACAGAGTAGAGTACTAAATAGTTTTCTTTGGTAGTTGGAATCCTGGGAAGACTAGGCTCTATCTCTCTCTTGCCATTGCTCAAGGCTGAGAAGCTTTTGTTCATGATTGTTGGCTGTTGCGCCCCACCCAGATTGTTTAGGTTGAAGCTTCCATAGAGAGAGGTAGGCCTCCAACTCCGTATCTATTGTCTGTTGATACTTACCGAGTACTGAAACTTCAAATGATATTTCTGCATACGTATTGAATACATAATGGTCATGTTTGATTCACCAGACTAATGATGAGATATTAATAATAATGTGATATTCACTGTCCAATTTGATTAATATGATAAATTTTTCATTGGATTAATCCTACCTCATTGCTAATAATCTTACAAATTTGTTGGATTAATAATCCTAAACCAAAATGTTAAAACAAACTTGGAATAATTGGACCCACAGACCCACGGATTAATAATTCTAATCACATGCTCTAATCCATCCAAACATGCCCAAAATATGAACCTAAATTTTTCTTCTTAATTGATATATGTAGTATATATCTAAACCGTACATCAGTCAAACTAGCTAGTATTTTGTTCTAATAGAGAGGTAAAATTAGTTTCATTGCACTTTTCTTATTGTTATTATGCATAGCTAGCATGATTTTAAAATAAAATTACAGGTTGTAACTTATTTAATATAACGACATTTAATTTTGATTTATAGCTTTATTTTTGATATTAAATGTGGATGGTAAGTTAGATTGTGACAAATTAAATCATTTAACTAATTTTACATTACTCTAGATTAAAGATAAATAATTTTTTACAACATGTACCTTATTTTTTTTAAATTTACCATATCGACATACCCGTACCCATGTTTTAATTTCACGTGGAGGCCAGGATTTAATTTCATGTTTCTGTTTGGAATTACAGACGGCTTAAGTTTGTCAAAATTTGAGACCTCAAACAAAAACTGCTTAAATTGATTGAAACCGGGTTATTTTAGTAACAAAATCAATGTTTTTAAAAAAAAAAAAAAAAAAAAACCATTCATTTTAATGTTTGATGTGCACAAGCTTTATTTTGTATAAACATTTATAAGATAACCTACACATTACTAAAATTCAGGGAAGATGTGCATTGAAATAATGAGTAAAAATAGCATACAATGATTGCTTTAACTCAATTTATTAGAGCATTAATCAAATAGGTTGACAACAATGCCTTTATTATTAAAATGATGAGTACTTTAGATTATATGCATTTTGTTCATTAAAGTTTTACTGCAATTAAACTAGTTCTTCCTCCATTTTGCTGTTTTAGGATAACAATGACTGATCGTCGGATTTATAGAAAGGATCAAATTAGTGAGCTGCCAAGAAATATCATAGAAGGTATCCTTGAGCGGATGTCCATAAGAGATGCAGCAAGAACAAGCATCTTGTCAACCAAGTGGAGGAGTATTTGGACTACAATTTCGCAACTCAAGCTTGGTAATCAGTTTTTCAAAGACACCCTCAAGGTTAAACCAATAGTCAAACATGAACTTGTGAGTGTAGTTGAGAAAATTCTCTTGCATCATGATGGCCCCATACCGATGTTTCTTTTCTGCATTCCAAGAATACAATTTGATTGCAGTGCAGATATTGATCGTTGGATTCTTTTCCTTTCGAGGAATGGTATCAAGGACTTAACTCTTGTTAATAATTCAGATAATGAACCCTTTTGCATTCCTGTATCTACTCTTGTCCTGAGTTGACTCGTCTAGAGCTTGTCAATGCTATATTCAAAGCACCACGCGAATCAAGTGGCTTTCATAATCTCATTAGCCTTCATTTTAAAAAAATCGCATTTGCGCACAACATTCTGAGGACGCTTTTTTCCATGTCCCCACTGCTTCAGAGATTGACCATCAAACATTGCACTGGTATTGGCAATCTCAATATCCAAGCTCCAAAGCTCAAAAGGCTACGTGTACAGCACAATAGTGAGACACAATCAATATGTTTTACGGACACCCAAAATCTGAGTTACGTCGCTATCATATTTGGTTTAACAATGGGAAGTCCCAAGAGTGTTAAAACACCCAATGTGGTTAGGTTTCTTGGTGACTTCCCTAGAATTGCAGAGCTAAATTTGGATGGCTTTTTTATTAAGGTGAGACATTGGTTTTATAATTTTATCTGGTTTATTTATTTCAAAACATGTAGCTTGACAATGTCCTTATACAATTTGTTGCCATTTGCATCAAAGATTTTGGCTGCAGGTGGAGTTCCCCATAGGCTTCCGACCACAGCTAACCTTTTGAAGGTACTTGCATTACATAATTTTCAGTTTAATGACTTGGATCATATTTCATGCGCGCTTTGTCTGATTAGAAGCTGCCCCAACTTGACGAAACTTCAGATTTGGGTAAGAATGTTGAATCTAGAAACTTGGTATGTTATCTTTAAAAATTTCAAACTAATTGGTTTTGCATATTGGTATTATCTTCACAGACTTGCATAATAATGGAGAGGAACGATGAAGAACTGGTTCTAAATCGTCTGGAAGCGCCAAACTGCATGGATCGAATGCTGGACAAACTTCAATCTGTGAAGATAAGTTATGTCATGGGTTTGAAGCCTGAACTTCTTTTCATCAAGCTTCTGTTAGCCCGCTCACCAATTCTAGAAGCAATATTCATTCAGCACAGTGTAGAAGTTGATTTCGAAAAAGGGTTCGGTATCTCAAAAGAGTTGGCACGGTTTCCTCGGGTGTCACCAAAAGCAGCAATAATATACTAGATAGCGATCACGCTGACATAGATGTTTGTTTTTCCCTTTCTTCTAGATCTGGTATTTGATCATATAAAAGTTCGTAGAGATTTGATGAGCACTAGCTGAAACAAATTGAAACTGTAAATGTCTATTTTTTCTCCTCTGGTTTGTGTGTAGTTTAAAGTTTTATTTATGTTTAGTGGAAGAGCAAGTCTTTTTCCTATGGTATGGTTAAAGATCCTCATTGCAATGGCTTTGGAGGAATGAATTAAAAACCCTGCCTTTTCTGTTAAGTGGTGTTTACCAACTTACCACATGGGCATGCCAATCCTTTTCCGTGTACAGTCTATTGTGTTTGGTTGGATGGGAATAGGGAAGGAAAAGTTGCATAGTGTAAACTCGAACCCAGATATTTCACCTTGTTTCGCTCAACTTTCGAAAATGAGAAAACTTTAGTTGGAAGTAAAATTATTTTTAATTTGTATACTGATTGAGAAATTCACATTTTTTAATCTATATTTATCGATTCTTGCAAATTTACAAAAGAAGATAGACGAGAGAAAAAAATTGAAAAATTAATTTCTGATACAATCATCAACATGCTGAAAGGAGGATGAACTGATTAAAAATGAAGAATGGGTCTTAGCCTCTACAGTTTTTAGTTAGTTACTTGTTAATTCATTGTGTACTAATGTACCCATATAATTAATTCAAAGGCTTGTTGTGCATTAGATTGAGCATTTTGTTTCTTGAAATTGTTAAACAGTTACATGCTGGAATAAACCAAAGTTAAAAGACTGTCTATACTAATTGCAAGCAATTGAACCCTTGGTGAATGAGTTGAGGTAGATTTGTTCATGAATTTACTCCAGTTGTTTCCACAGCTCTAGCAAGAGAGAGGTAACATCTAATAACAGTTTCTTATTCATTACCTTCATTTCCCCTTTTGTTGTGTTTGGATCTATTACCTTCATTTCCCCTTTTGTTGTGTTTGGATTGGATCTTGAGTTTGTGAATGGATTTACGGAAAGAAAAAAAAGGGGGAAAAGCATTTATGAATAAAAAATCTATTTCATTCACTTTTTCATTCATTTTTTCCCCTCCACAAATCCAAACACAAGAGAATTACTTCCCAAAAAACCACTGCCTCTAGCAAGAGTATATGTCAATATAGAAAATTGTCTCCAATATGATTTCACTCTTTTAACAAAATAAATTTTGATTTTTTTTTATTTTATTAATTTAAATCCTAATCTTTTGTTTATTTTCAATCTAAACATTTGTATATTTTCATTAAAAAAATCAATATAAAATTTTATATTTTAGTCATTAAACTTAACAAAAAGGTATTTTTGATATTTTAAATACACCCACATTCATCTTAATAAGTAAAATACTATTTTTTATTGATTTTACTTGACGAAAATAGATGAATGATTTAAATTGAAATTAATCAAAAAAATTAAAATTAAAATTTTATTTTGTTATAATGTCAAATTTTAAGTTTTTTTTGTTGTAATTTTTTTTTTTTTGCACAATAGTGTTACAACCACACAAATTTTCTCCCTCAAAATTCTCCAAATGAGGTGACAATATAGAATGTATTTAAGCAGAGTTTTGAAAAAATGGACACGGGGTCCCTGTTGTGCCATAGTTCCTGCCGTGTCTGCTGTGCCAATGAAACGACACCGTTTTTCTCCTTCTTCTTCTTTGTTTTTTTATTTTATTTTATTTTTTTTGTAAGGGTTTCAATATCAAGCAAAGGTCTTTGCTTTACATCTTCTCTGTCCCCTCTCAAGCAAAGGTCTCTGCTTTACATGGAGTTCTAGCAAAAAATTATAATTCTTCTAGTCTTGCAATTCTGGCAAAAAAGTTGTGCTGAATTTTTTTTTTTTGAATAGAAAATATAATAAAATAAAAATAATTCATCGAACAAATCAATTTATCAAACTAAATTATATATTTTTTAAAAAGATTAATTTTGAAATTAAAATCAAACAAACCATACATGTTTTGACTATTTCAAAACTGACTTAAATGCATCAAAAGTGAAATTGAAAGGGAAAAAAATTGTAATTGAACAAATCAATTTATCAAACCATAAGCAAAAAAAATATAACTTAAAAAAAAAAAAAAAGTTCTATAAAAATTTTAAAAAAAAAATTTAAGGCCAAAATATATTCAATTCACATCCAACATCTATATAAAAAAACAAAAAAACAAAAAAAAAAAAAATAAATTATGAGGCATCCAAACTTCAAATTCTCCTGTCAAATATTCCAAAACTTATATCAACCATCCTAAATCATCCAAACAAAATTCAAAAAACCTTCAATTTCAATTCTCAAAACAAAAATTAGAAAGTGGATCCAATGTCAATTTTGTGGAGGCGGTTGGGAATAAATAGAAAAATCAAAAGAACTCTCATTTTTAAATTCGGTCTCCATTGGATTGTGCCTCGGTAGATTAAGTGATATTTCCTACAAAAAAGAAAAGAAAAGAAAAGAAAAGACAATTCATTAGAATAAATTTCATGGACTAAATTACATTACAAACATATATATATATATATATATATATATTACTTACTTGAGAACTTTGTGGACTATGTGATGCTTGGAAAGACAGAGGTTGTGATTGTGGATACCATGGTGAGTATGAATTAGTATCACGTGTAAGAAAATTATACCCATAATTTATCAATTGTGGCCAATAGAGACTCAACATCCTACTCTATAAAACATCGTGACAAGTAAATACACTAGTACAACGTGGTCTAAAAAATAAACAAATAACATAAAACAAGAGCTAACCTGTGGTTGGCTTAAAGATGAATTTTGAACATTTGTGATATTGCTTGATTGACCAATAGTCTAAATAAGTTGTAAAATTTATCAATACATTACACAATTTATAAAAAAATAATAATAAATAAATAACATAAAACAATAGCTAACCTGTGGTTGGCTTGAAGATGAATTTTGAACATTTGTAGTGTTGCTTGATTGATCAATAGTCTAAAGAAGTTTAAAAAGTAATTAATACTTTACACAATTTATAAAAATAAATGCATGTCATTTGAAATTTCAAAAGTATGTAGGTAATACCTTACTAAGGCGGGTAGGTTGTGAAATAATTTTTATCTTCTTATTCATCATCTCATGCCAAGGTTTTAATCTACCTCTCCCTTTGTGTCCAACATCTTTCTTCTTTATGCCCTTAACTTGTGCAAAGTTGGGGTCCTCCACATCTAGTTCTTTGGTACCAAAATTTCCAACTCCCTTCATCAGATTATTCACTTTTACACACAATTCCTTAATCCCTTCATCAACCAATTGATAGGCAGGTTTGTGCACAGATGCTTGAGTTGCTAGTTTCAACATTCTTAGACAAAGATCTCTATAATGTACTAATATTAACAACTTCGGATCATCCTCATCCACTACAAAATTTTCCTCTTCAACTTGACAATCTTTTGCATCCAATCTCCATTGGCCTAATATATACCTTTTGGGAATTTCTATAACATTAATTTTATTAAGTGCTTTGATTGCACGACTACATAAAATTCCAAAGTTTTCAAATTTCTTACAAGTACAATGTATTTTTCGACAGTTTTTTTCTCCTCTTAGCCCAATAACTTCCACCCTACCCTCCACAATATACTCTTCATTATTACCATACAAGCCAAACACGCACTTAACTTCTTCTAATTCATTGAATTGCTTCACTTGACAACAAAGAGATGTATCCAACTCATAATGAAATAAGTCAAAGATAGGGGGGTGTACAAACTCGTAACCTGGATTAAAATGGGAGACTTTTTCAATTTCATTCTTGGCAACTTTTGTCTAAAATCATATATTGCAGAAATTTCCTCATATTGCTTATCTACAACAATCCGATTGAAGTAGGTAAAGAATTGAATAATGTTATGATCACCTTTCAAATATCCTCTTGATGTTCCATTTAGACTTTCCCTAAGTTGTGTGCTTCACATTCCTTTAGTAAATACCCACTTCATATACACATGCGCCCACTGCTCTGTTTTTCTCCAAGTTCTTTCCATCCACTCATTCTCTTGCAAGTTATATTTATCATCAAAGAATTCCAAGCTTCAATTAATTCATGCTCATTCTTGTAGGCATAAATGCAAGCTTTTAAATCACTACTAAATTTTGAACCACTCTTGAACGAGTAACCTAAATGCTTCAAAGAATTTTGCATTAGGTGAAAAGTGCACAACCCATGAAAAACCTCAGGCATGATTTGTGAAATTGCTTTAGCCATTGCTTGATCTTGGTCTGTGAAAAAACTAATAGGCTTTTTTTCCAACATTGCATCTAAAAAAGTTTCAAATAACCATTCAAATGACTTTGCAATTTCATCATACAATAATGCTGCACCAAAAATCACTGTCATTCTAAAGTGGTTAAAGCCATAAAATAAAACAAGTGAACGGTACTCCTTATTTGTTCGAAAAGTTGTGTTGAATGACACAACATCACCGAAAAGTCCATAATCTGTTATTATCTGATGATCAGCCCCAAAAATATTAGTAATCATCTCATCTACATCCAACTGAATGGCATAGTAAAAATATGGATTTTCTGTCACTTGTTGCTGGAAATATCTTAACAAACTCCCTGTTTCACCATACTGTAAGTTTCGCTGTCTTTTTGCATGTAAGTAGGTTTTCTGATCCTCCCTCGTGAACCTTACAAATTCCTTCCCTCCTGCTATAGCACTAATAAGATCATGTGAAGCCTTAAGAGAAATTCCAGTCTCATCAGCTATATCAATATTTATACCCTAAACATCACATACCTTTCTCTGAGATGGAATCAAATGAGTACATTGAGGAAGATGCAAAAGGTGGTTATGGTTGTTATCAAACTTTGACACAATCCACTTCGACAAGTCCCGCTTAAAAGATATATGCATGAATGCATTACAATTTGTTCTTGTCTCACTTCGAGGATTTTTTTTATCACCGTGTACCGTTTATCTTTTTCCCTCTCTCCCTCCTTATAACAAACAAACTTTCTACTAGTCATAACACCATTTTTCTTGCTTTTGTTACAATAATCTCTTATAATACTAAACCTCACAATTCTTCCGAATTCATCATAAAACTCATATGCAGCTTCTTCTGATGGAAACTCCATACTAAGATATGGTGATTTATCCTTGGCCAACTTTCCCAATTCTTCGATGCATCCCTCAAGTCCACCATCATCCATTATACCATCCTCCATTTCAACACTAACAAATATGGAAAAAAAAATTAAACGAAACAAGAATATGAGCAAACAAGTTATTAATTAATTTTAAATGTTGAGTAATTATAACCAATTCAATGAAATCTAATAAATCAATTAATAATGCAAATTAATTAAAAGGATAGGGGAGAGGAAAAAAAGATGTGTAATTTGTATAGTAGCATTAGAAATTTATTGTGTCTAAGTAGATTATAATATACAATTGCAAAATTATATTAGAATTAGTATATTATATAATATAGGGAATCTTTTGGCACGCTTAAAGATGTGAATCATATGCACTCTTATTATATAATTTTTTGATATATGTTTCGTATTTTTATCACAAATGTTATGTCGTTTTAATTGAGTTATGACAATTTATGATTAAAAAATTAAATTCGTATTTTGTAGTAAGGTTAAACTTTTTTTTTATTGAAACTTTTTTTGGACCATAAAATGCACAACATTATTACAAAAATACATAACATTGTTATTAAAAAAAATTATGAATTACAAATTATCGTAACTCTTTAAAAAAATTATATAATATTTATACAAAAATACATAACATGTACAAAACAAATTACATAATAAAGAAATTTTCTTATAATATACAATTGTGTTTCTCAATCTATTCACAAAAAACAAACCAAACCATTATACTTGTTGAACCATTATACTAACACACTGTACAAAATAAAATACAACATATATACATATCTACACATATATATATACACACATACCAGTTTGTTAAACAATAATGGTCTGTAAATTCGAAAGAAGAACGGTGAAGCAAAGACAAAGAACACTGTTCAATCCATTTGAGAGAAGAAAAAAATGTATAAAAAAAATAAACAAATAACTAATTTTTCTACTCCATGTAAAGCAGAGACCTTTGCTTGGGACAGAGAAAATGTAAAGCAGAGACCATAGCTTGACGGCAGCAGTTAGATATTATAATAAAATAATAATTATTGAAACCCTTAAAAAAAAAAAGAGAGTAGAAAAACGGTGCCGTTTCGTTGGCATAGTAGGAACTGTGGCACAGCAGGGACCCCGCGTCCTGAAAGAATATTGAAGTGCAAGTCAATTTTTCAATTTTTACCTATTATGTCATTTGAAAAGATTTTGAGAAAAAATTTATATGTATGAATTATTTTTCTTTTTACACAAGTACACTGAAATGTAATATCCCCCCCTGAAAAAAAAAAGGTAATAAAGAACCCCAAAACATCTCCCTTTCAAGAAATTATTCAATGCTTTCAATGCTCATGAAGTAAGTTTAGGTGATATTTCAAATCAATAGTTATTATTTTGAGAAATTTAGTCTAACATCCCTCTCTAATTTTTAATAATAGGAGAGATCCATAATATTTTTATTTGTAGTCTAAGGTCACTCACACACACCCATATATCACACCTACTCTCTCATTATCTCTCCCACTCAGGCGCCCCAATTCAAGTTTTCTGAAGTTGAGAATCATTTCGTTCCTCATCGTTAGGTAATAACTGCTACTCAAAAGTCTCTTCAAACTCATCAATTCACTCATACTTAATCTTGCTAATCCCAATTCTCTGCACCACTACGTTCCTAATTGCCTATGCTTGCAAGCACAGCCCATTTTGTTCAGTCCCAGACATATAGCTCCTCACTTCATCTTTGTTCATCTCTTTCATCACAACCAAAAATTCTTGGTTGAAGAATAGCTCGTTTAGTAATGGAGGTTCGGTGATTTTAGGGGTTTTTGAGTGCGGATATGATGGATGGGTTGTATACATACATACATACATACATATATATATATATATATGAATATAATTTCTCTATGAGTTTATTTCTGTTCAATTTTTTTTTGGTTTAATAAAAATACAGAGAAAATTATGAGTAAATCAAAGAAAATTGGTTAAAACACAGAGACATTTCAATCCAGAGAAATTTCAAAACCCAGAGAAAATCAGAGAAATTGAGCAAACACTGGAATCAATTTTCTCTGGTTTAAAATTGTGAACAAACACAGAGAAATTTCAGAAATTTCTCTAGTTTAGTTAAAATTTCTTTGGTTTGGTTAAAACAATTTTCTTTAGTTTAAAATCACTGTGCTAAAATTTCTCTGGTTTGGTTAAAACAATTTTCTCTGGTTTAAAATTGTGAACAAACACAGAGAAATTTGTGAACAAAGATGTTTGGTTCATTTTTTAGAACTTGTCTTTTGAAATTTTTATTTTATTTTTTTTATGTTTGGTTGCTTCAGTTTCTCTATTAATTTGTTTGCTTGCTCAGATATTGGAAGAAAAAAAAAACAGAAAATGTGATTTTGAATTTAAAAATTTCAAGCACTTTCGTTAGGCTTCTGATCCAGCCCCATTGCATAAGCTTATGCACTACCAAACTCTAAACACAACTTTTTTTCTTCTTTTCTCTTCTTTTTGAAAAAGGAAAGGGGAGAGGGGATATATCGTGCTTCCTCTGGTTTCCTCTCACATTTTCAAAATTTTCTTGCACTTTCCAAGTGCAAGTGAGTTTTCTTTGTTAGGGAGTGATTCTTAAAGCAAAAGCCTTTCAACTCAAATGACATTGTATGATCCATTTCTTCTTTTAACCAGAACCAGATACATTTCTGATGATTGACTAATGAGCATTTGGAACAACAGTAAAAAAAAAAAAAAATTGGTTGGCCATGAAGTGGTTTTGACATTTTGCTAAATTCTTGATTTATGCCACGACATCACCATGGGTTTCCTCTTGGGTTTTGTAGGCTGAAGTGGGAGATCAAGTCCAGAGTCATATTATTTGCTGCATGGTGTTTTAGTTGGTTTATTTTGCTATTAGTTTTGGGATTTGATTAGAATTAAGGAGAATAAAGGATACAAGCAATTCCAATGCTGGATGCTGAGTTTATGTAGGAAGGGTTGGGTAATAATTAGGCAAACGTTGAGATTGGGGCATCTGCTTCTAATCTACTGATATTTGAGTCCAAAAAGTTGGCTCCAGGATCTGTAAGGTGATGAGACGAGAAAAAGGGGAGATGCCCTTGGCAAGTGTTTATGAGAAGTTTACGGCCTGTTTAGTAACCGTTTCGTTTTTAGTTTTCAGTTTATATTTACAAAAATTTTAAAAATTGTCATAAAAACTTGTTTGATAATTTTTTGGGTTTATAAATGGTTGTCTTAGTTTGTAAATTTGAGGAAAAAATGTAAACTGGTTTTTAAACAGAAATTTAAAAATTTGACTAAATTTTTTTTTTCAATTAATTTTTTTAATTACTTTTTTTGTCAATTATAATGTGTATGATCCCATTGTCATAAATAATAAATAATAAATATAAATATTTGTGGCCTGAACAAACATATTTTTTAGTTTATATTTTTAAAATTTTTCAAACATTTTGTTCAAACCAAATGCGTTTGTAATTTATGTTTTTCTAAAAATAAACAAAAATTAATTTATAAAATTTTTGTAAACATAAACTAAAAATGTAAACGTTACTAAACGCTACCTTAGTGTTTGTTGTGATTTGAAAAAAAGTTAACCTTGTTTATTAAATGCCTAGAATTTTTTATTTTTATCTTTTAATTCTTAATCTTCTAAGTTTTATTCTCAACTGGTTGGATTGTTTTTCCAATACTTACGGTTAAAGACCCAATCTTATATTATGTCCTAAATATCTAGAATTGAAATGTTGGACTGATAGATATTTTTAGAATGTTACGTCTGTTATTTATTTATTTATTTTTAGGAGTCTTGTAGCCTGGTATACAATATGGCTAGGGTTTTCCCCCAAACATTGAAATTATGACTGCTCGATTGTTTTTCCATAAGCATTAGGAATTGTGTAGGATTGTTTATGGGACACAGAAAAAGGCTGCTTGAGTAATCCCATTTCATATTGTAGTTACTACACGCTTGCTTGATTAAAATGATTTTTGTTAGTTATCCAGCTAAATGCATTTGTGGTATCTGTACACTATTGGAGAAGTTTTTTATAAACCTAAAACATTTTATCAGCCATGTTTCTTTGACTCAGTCTGAAATTTGGGTACTGATTAAAGATCTATATTTTGTATAAAGACACAGACAACTGATACACTGAGAATCTCTGGTGATCTCTGGAATTTTCCACTCCAGGGATGGTCAGTGTTTGAAATATTGATTCAAAAGATTACGTCCTACTCTTTTTTCTTCTTTAATTTTTTAACAATGAACACAAAAGTCTAGAATTGAAGTGTGAAGTCTGCATCTACATTAAAGTTTGTGCCTGCCTTTGCTTTAAATCAAAGGTTGAGAATCCATTTACTTTCCCATGGTTGCAAACGTATTGCAGTTGGCGGTACAGATTGTAATTCCATATTTTGTGTCTTGTAAACAATTATTAGTCTTTATAAACGTAAATCAACTAACTAATGTTTGACAGCAAGTAGTTAGCTTGTCAAAACACATTTTATTATTATTATTATTATTTTTTTAATATTAGTTAATAGTTTATTCAGCTTTCAAGTTAAAAGCTACACTCGTCTCCCATGCTTGCCAAAACTGATGCAGAATAACGTACGCATACATCTAACAAACACGTAGTGATGATAGTTTGTTAACACATTAGGCTTGTTACTGTGGTTTAATCTTTACTTTGTGTTCAGGATTGTCTTGACGAAAGTGGACTAAATTGGGTGCACTTTTTTTTCAAAATTTTTTAAATTGTGGATGAGACTGAGGTTTCCACAAACCTTGAGTGTTTAGCTGAATGCAGGGTTTGTATTTTGTTTTTTTGGTCCCGGGGAGTAGGAGAGGGAAGAGGGACCCTGGGGCCAGGTAAATGAGCTGGCTTTACCCATGCTTTACCACTACACCATTGCCATGTGCTTGAAGGTTTGCACGGACTGGCTTTAGATTAGGGAAGCATCTGTTTTTTTCATCTCATCTTTGATTGAAACAGGCTTAAATTGCAGAGCTAAACTAAGCATGAATTCCATTTACTGCTACAATCTGTGTATGA